GTTCTTAGATCATCCAATTACAAAACCTAAAAGATACTGCTGGGCCAGCCTCCATTTTCATGGGCCCATCATAATCTAATAATCATGGATAAAAAGATACTACTTGGATCTTTGTGATAAAGGCCAGTTTATGGGTTCTTTACAGGGCCTTTCATTTGTTATATGGGCCTTAATCTTGAAGAGAAAGAAGAATTATTTGTCAGAAGCTCTTTCGAGTCTTCTGCGTTTCTAACTCTCTAGTCTGTACTGTCTGGCTCTCTTTATGAAATTTTTTTTCCTTGAAGGCAATTTGTGAAAGCGCTCTCTTTATGACATTTTTGGTATTGAAATTTGACTCATTTATGATACGAATCAGAACGTGTTTATCACGATAGGATAATTTGCCTTCAATTTAAGAATATTGTATAACTCTCGGGTATGGGTGTTCATATCCGATCCAATCCGATTGATTCGACCTAAAATAATTCAATTCGATTAAAAACCAAACCAAATCGATATAAAATTAGGTTGGTTTGGATTATAAATATTTAAAATCGATATAATTGGTTTGGTTTGTGATTTTACTTTCAAACTGTTTGAACTACCCAATTATAAAAAAAAAAAATCAGATTATAAGATAACTTAATTAAATAATATAATATTTTTATAATATTTCAATTTTTTTTTCTTATTTTACAAGATAATGACTCTATTGATTTAATTAAAAATAAAAATAGCATATTTTATATTTCCTAATTTATTTTTTCTTTTTTTTTAATTAAATACCTAAATTTTAATTCTAAATTTCATATTCCCCTACAATTCTACATTTATAAGTAAGTTGCAACTTTATTCTTAAAACCCTACCTTCTTAAGTAGCGTGCACTTGCCAAGGTTGTCGTCTAGGTTATCGTCTTTATTTTGCTGGGTTTATTCTTAAACACATAATATGGGTGTCGACACCATGGGTTAATAGTCCGGAATCAAACTTTATATTTCCTGTTTTGTGTCGACACATAATTCAGGTTACCAACACTATACGTTCAACATCCAACATTCAAGTTTCTTATTCTGTTTCAAATCCTACTTCTGTTTCAATTAGGGTTTCTAAAACCTTATAAATACCCATCCAAATTCAGAATTAAAAGAGTTTGGGAGGCTGCTGGCAGCCCTCTTTTAGATATTCTTGAAAATCAAGATAAAGATTTAAGAATTTGTTCATAATTTTTAAATCTTTTCAATTTTTACAATTGTAAAAGAATGTAAGAATTTGTTTATAATTTGTACTTTTTTAAATTATGTTTCTATTTATTTGGATATTAACGTATTTTATATTTATGTTTTTTACTTAATGTTAAATTTATTTACATTATCTCATATATTTAATAGTATTAAAAATCCATCAATTCGACTGAACCATACCGATTTGATTTAAATTGGATTGGTTTGATTATCATATAATAATGGATTGAATTGATTTAAAAATTTTATTAATCAATTAAATTAAATTACATTAAAAAATATTAAAATTCGAACTAAACCACACCGCGAACAACCCTACTCCCGGGCATGTCATTGCTGAATTCTCATTTGGAAAATAGCGTACTTATATTCTATTCACAAAAACAACAAAGTCAAATATATGTAAGAATTGTAGGGAACAATGATTTCACTTCGAGTCTTCAAACCTCTACTTGAAAGAAAACATCAATCTTGAAAATT